ATTTTGAAAAAAAAAATCATATCACTCTAATTGAAAACCCTTTATAAAGTTCCCATACCACTAAGGACAAATCTACCAAATTGCCTCAGAACTATTATAACCCTGCCCACTCTCCATAAAACGCTTGTGTCAAAAACTACTAAGAGTGTGATAAATCAATAAGAAAAGACGTCATCGGCCTTAAATTTTGCAAGTAAGATGGTGCAAGAGGGCGTTATAGGAGTCGGTATAAAAATATCTCACGACCTTTTTAACCAATTTGAACCAAATTAGATGGGTGATATTATCCTGACATTCCGATCTAACAATGCAAAAATGGGCGAAATCTGATTACTACGCCTACTTCCCATATAATACAACTATAAAATCTACCTGATTTTTTCACTTTCCAGTCTACAAATCAAGCTCCTACGAATATATATGAATAAACCTTTGCGTGGATAGTGCCTTAAATATGTGCCACCTTATGACTAAAAATTGTCAAAATCCGACTACAACTTTTCAAACCCCCAGTTATCCTATCACGAACTTTTAATCGAAAATATCGGTCAATCTGTGAGACATACTCATTATTGAAATTCAAAAATGTGGGAGTTATCGTAATGAAATAAGATAGCGTGTATTTTTTAGTGTACCTTTTGTGCTTAAATCGGGTGAAAACTTGCCCTGTCCTCCATATAATTAATATCTGAATTTTCCAACATCCGGCTTTTTTCCGTATATATGTTATTAGTTAACGTATGTATGTCAGTTAGCATCTTGTTCTCTTAATGATTAGTAGTATTGTCAAAAATATTTAAAATCAAGTCAATACTAACCGTATCTACCATATACATACCTAACATAAGAACTTCTAACATCCGATGGGCTTTACACCGTATACCCGTATATCAGTGGTAAAGTTAGATATATCAGCAAAATAACCTGATCATTTTCATAAACTACATATTTTATAATGAGTTTTGTTATTCAGTCGGTAGGTGCGTGTAGTATATGTCAAAAAATATAATAAGTAGACAAAGTTTTTTGAAAATATGTATCTGTTTTCTGCACATTTGATTTCTTTAACTCACATTTCAGCATTTTATCTCAATAAATAAAAACGTAAAAATTGTATCTGAGCAGTAGATATCGAATGTTTGGGCGACTCCCCATATAATACGATTTTCCATATAATACGATTCCATTAGACTGCCTATAGCTGTCTTTACACCGAAAATATCGGATAGTCCGTCAGATGTCTGAGTGCAATTAAGGGAGCATCTCCTCCTTGTAATTATGTGTTGTGGTGTCAAAAATTGATAAAGACTTTTGACTTTATGCCGTTGGTATTGAACAATATGTTAAATCTTCTATATATATAAAAAATAAAGTGTGTATGTATGTTCCGTGTAGGCTTCAAAACGGCTGAACCGATTTCAATATAATATTAACTGTCGAGTAATCCTGTAGGTTTGGTGACGATTGGATCTTTTTGAACTGTCAAATTTTCTTTTTGAACTGTCAAATACAGTTTTTATTTACTATGATGATATTCTATTGTTTTATAACCCAAATTTGTGTTAACACATCCGTATATGTCATTATGACACATATTGAAGTATAATGGCGTATATTGAAGTATAATGAAGTATATATATATAAAGTACAATATATTAAAATAAATAATTAAGGATTTTTAAGAATTCAAGGTAAGTTGTAGCGCCGCGAATGTATTCGTTTACTGATGCGGTTTAAATTGATTATTAACACGGAAAATATATTTTTTTTCACCAATCATGTTTCTTTACAGAATCATTGTAATAAATAAAAAAATCGTACAAAAAAAAAATTATTTGTAACAAAACCTCCAAATCAAAGTTAAGGCAAAAAGAGCAAATGAAAAAGCTGACGAACGTGAGTTATGCCTTGAGAAAAATCGTAACAGAATATCTACAAAAAGAAACATGGAAACTGAAGAAGAGCGTGAATCACGGCTTCAACAAAATCGTGACAAAGAATCTTTATCACGAGCTACCGAGACAATCCAAAAACTTACGCAAACACTTGACGCCAAACGTAACCGAATGGCTCAATCAAAAAGAATAGATTTAAAACTTGCGGCGTTCAACTACAATAAGGATGACGATTACAGAAATCACAAGGACGTAGTGATGGGTGCAATGAACAAAGTTTGTTCACTTTGTGGTGCTTTAAACCTCGGAGGAGCTTCAGGTTGGCCAGCGAGTGATCCTGTAAGGGTCGGTGGCGATCGAAAATTAAAAAAAAATTTATTTTTTGATGTCAATGACATTTTCTTTTACTGCTGATATGTTATTGTTTTTATTACACAATTCTGTTGCCATGTGCATCGTGTATATTTATGTTATTTAATTAAACATATTCGAGTATAATGAATGATATTGAAGTATAGACAATATGACAATGTAATTTAACTAAAATTATCGTGAAGAGTGAGCCATTACTAACAGATGAACAAAATACTATATACAATGGGATAAGGCTAATTGCTAGATAATTTTAGCACTATTGTACACGGAAAAAATAATTAATTTTCAGTATTTTCCCAGACAAAATAAAATAATTACTTTAATCAAAACTGACTCTGTAATCGGGCTAGATTGACAGAAAAAAATTAAGAAATTAATTTCAATAATAATACATTAAGCAGCTAACTCAAATATAATTTAATTATACTTTAGCCACAGCAAGGCGTGGCCGGGGTCTTCAAGTATTTTAATTAAACTACGTGGACATGTTTTTACAATGTGATTTAATGCTAAATATGAATGAAAACGGTCTTACCTCAGGCGTCATTTTACTAGCGCCGTTTTGTTGTTTCCTCAAATAACAATATATTAAATTTCGTACCTTTGGTTAAGTTCATATCGCCATACACTTATCAAGTCTCAAAGAAATTAAGCCAGGTATTTCGAGTTTGCCATTCGCAGTAAAATTAGTTATCGCACATACGTTCCCAGTATAATCTAATAGGCGCTTTCTAAAGTAAACAGTAAAAAAGTAACAAAGTAAACTCTAGTTGCATATCTATATGTCGATTAGTGCGTTAGAATCTGATATCTTTATCGACTTCTATAAAATTTCATGACATTTCATCTATTGGAAGTGAAGTTATTGGGTTTAAGTGTCAGTATATTTTGTCATCGTGTGCAAAATAAGCGCCGCAAAGCCAACATTAAATTTTGTTTAAAATTGGTAAAACTTCAAACATTTCAATTGATGAAACAAGTTTATGCGTCGATGCCTATCCCGTAGCAAGTGCACAGAGGTTTCACCGTTTCAAAGTGGTCGTGAGGACATAAAAGTAGCGCAAAACCAAAAATCGCGCCGAGAAGTCAAAAGTGAAGACAATGCTGATTTGTTTTATGATTCCAATTATTGTCCACAAAGATTTGTTCCACCGCCAAAACTTAATGCGTATTCTACCTTAGGTTTAGGCGTTTGGTGCGCTATTCAACGTGTTCGGCGAATATCGCAGATGGAGATTGGCGTTTGTTGCACTATAATGCGCCGTCTCATCGATCGACGCTTGTGGTTGATTATCCAAAATCACATTTAACAATCAACCACTCTCCGTATTACCTGATAGCACCGTGCGACTCACCCTTCGGAATAATGCATTTATGATAGAATTTCGACATGCTTTTGGACCGTGCAAAAAGCTGTATTAAAGCAGAAGGAGACTATTATAAAATTAATTGATTTTGCCGATAAAACCATTTGTTCTGTCTGTTTTTAAAAGTCCTGTTTACTTTGGAACGCACCTTGTAATTATATTAAGTTGCGCTAGTTAGATTGATATCTCGGACATGAACAACAAGCAGTAAATAAACTGAGTGTGAATGTGACATTTGCAACATATTTATACTCCCGCCGCCTGGTTCTAAAGAGTAGAATAGTTTTGTTCATCTAACGGTTATTTATATCACTTTCAACTAATCGAGATAGATATAGAGTTATACCATACTTCTTATATATAAATATGAAACACTTTTTCGTTATGCACCCGCAAAACTTCCGAACCACAGCATGGAAAAATTTACACAGTTATTCGTTTATTATAGCAGGTCCTAACAGAGACCAGGGGACGGACATAGATACTTTTTAACTTTTTATGTCAAAAGTCAAAGTAATTCATATATGTATGTATAAAAAAGTATATTTCAAATCATCAGCATGTACTAAAAATACATATAGAAATAATTTGATGGCGCATCTAAACGACACTATTTTTGCAAAGTTTTAATCAGATGTCTTTACTGGCTTTCAATTTCTATACTGTAAAGTGACAGAAGCAGATTAATCCTCTATTTTATATAATAAGTAGGCGTGGTTGTAGACTGAATTCGCACACCGTAATATAGGAATGTCTGAGTAATATTTTAAATCTAGTTTATTTGAAATTTGTCAAATATGAGCTATTTGAAATAGAAATAAGGAGGATTTTAAAAGGACGGACTGACTGTCACCCGGATTTGAACTCGCCACGTCACCCTGATCGTTTATATATTATATACAACTCCATATCTATCTCGAGTAGTTTTAGGTGATAAAACAACTGTATTGCATATCAGCGGTATTGGACAATAGCCATGCCCACAAAATGCCGTTAATCGAAAACATATAATATATAGTAAAGTGCTGTTACTAAACCAAAAAATTAGGTACAAAACTGAAATTTAGTTCAGTTCGGAGTACGAATAGGCATATGTGGTTCAAAACTTATAAAAAGGTGTGGTGGCCACGCCCCCTAATAGGTTTAATGCGGAAATCGTTCAAGCCTCTAAATCTTCTTGACCGAAACTTGCTGAGAGGAAGATTGCAGCACTTCCTCAAACACTGTGAAAGTGGGTGAAATCAGATGATAACCACGCCTATTCCCTATATGAGGGCTTTATTAAAAATAATTGTTATTTTTACAGTATATAAATTAAGAGCAAATAAATGACGTTAACGAAATAAAACTTTGCANAGGCCTAAAAAAGATTGCAAATATTATATTTAGACATTCCGGCATCTATTTGCAAACAAAGTTGTATTTTTACTCGAAAAGTATAATTAATGGAATTTTGACATTGCCAGAAAAAGTCGAAGTGATAAGTTTTTATTTAATTTATTTAATTAACTCACTATCGCAAATAACCCAATAATACATTTTTTCAAAGACTTGAAACTTTAGCTCATATTACACTGAAACTACACATCTGGCATTACAAATGATGAAATGATCTGTATTTCTATGTATGGTGTAACAGTCATCCAATATATCCTAATCTAACCTATACTGAGAGCAGCACATATTCAGAATACCCTCCAAACATGTATACCAAGTAATATCAAACTTGTAAAACGAAAAATAAATGCACTTAAGAATCATGTGATGAAATTAAGAATTTCAAAATAAAATTTTTCCATGCAGCTTTACGCGCCCATCCAGAATCTCTGATCAACTCTGCCATGTAACTAATAACAAGAGAAAATTTTACATTTTGATGTTAAAAGGCGTTACAGCGCTATACACAATATACCACATTCTGATATTCCAGTGACAACGCGACGTTAATAAAAACTTGGATCGCTCGATTTGGTATACATTTCAAATTCACTAACCCAAGGTCAATTCGAATGTAAAATTTTAAGTTAACTTAACAACAGACAAATCACATTCAAACAAAAACTTATCATATCATACATAAAGTAACTTCAACATTAAAATATAAATAGGACAAAATAAATACTCGAATTACCACGCAGGCGAAAACGGAAAATTATTCCACTCAATGCGACCCGTAAACGCGTTAAATGGTAAGATATGTTACTAAAATCTCAGGCAATTTTGTGCTTACTGGACTCAGTATTGTTTGGTCACGACTCAAAGATGGACACCAGCTAAGAGAAACTATTTCTGCTATGAAGGCAAAAAAAGTGGTTGGGTACTAGTAATAAAAAATGGCAAAAAGAAGAAGAATTTTACCTATTTGTCATACTATGCTAACCGCAGTAGATATCTACCGATTTCTTCGAGCAGATTTGGCTCATGTCAGAAGCATAAAGAAGCTGATTTAAACTATAAAATCTACGGTGCGTTATACCTATGCTTAGCAGTGGATAACTGGTTACCCACATTGGATGTAATTGGTTTGAGAGATACACTAATTTTAGTTTTACATTAAACAGCTATGCATGGAGTTTATTTTTACATCTTACAACTTACATCTCATCCCGCGTATACTTATAAAACCAAATCGTCTTTCCGGGAATGTCAAAAATATATAAATGCCCGAATGTCCTTAAACATTTGTAATCTGTATTTGTTTACATTGAAATTTAAGTGTTTCTAATAATATTTTTACTTTTTTGTTCTTATAGGATTCGAAAATTGACACTTATCAAAAAATGTGGCAATACATGGAGACTCGACATTCTTCGGTGTTTGTAAAGACTTATGAGGAAGGAATTAAGCGTGTCATAGAAGGAAATTATGCCTTTCTTATGGAATCGACAATGCTGGATTACGCAGTACAGCGAGACTGTAACTTAACACAAATTGGCGGGCTTCTCGATTCAAAAGGTTATGGAATTGCCACACCAAAAGGTTCCCTCTGGCGTGATCCTATGTCATTGGCAATCTTGGAATTACAAGAAAAAGGGATCATACAAATATTATATGATAAATGGTGGAAAAACACTGGTGACGTTTGCAATCGGGAAGAAAAAAGTAAAGAATCGAAAGCAAACGCATTGGGAGTAGAAAATATAGGTAAAAATAGCTTAAAATAAAATAGTATTTCTTACACTAACGAATTATTCGTTTATTAAAGGAGGTGTTTTCGTAGTCTTACTATGTGGTTTAGCTTTAGCAGTTGTTGTTGCTATTTTGGAGTTTTGTTGGAATTCCAAAAAAACTTTACAACTGATCGAAACGCAAACTTTGTGTTCTAAAATGACTGAAGAGCCGAGGTATGCTACACATTGCCCCGAGTCAAAGCAACGTCAATCCTCAAAGCGTAACTCAGTCAAATTTCTACCGGAGTCCACCTATGTGCCAGCTGATACAGGAAGTGGTATACTAAATAGTAGTGGGGTACATTATAATTATTTTGATTAGATATTTAAGAAAAACCTAAATCAAGTGTACGTACTCAAATATAATTATAATCTTTTTATGTTAAGTATAAGTATAATTTAAAAACTTCTTCTGTCTTGAATTCAATTTTTTTAGTAAAACTGATCTACAAATTTTGGTCTTTAAATATGTTCGTAACGCAAAGTGGTTTTCATAGAAATAAATTAAAAACAAGTAAGAGAGTGATAAATTACATTTGAAACTTTTTGCGAGATTTGAAGACTTTTTTCGGCGCTGGCAAACTTTATTATAAAACGACGGACCTAAGATGCTCTCGTGATTTGTAATGATAAAAGGAGGTCGAAATATTTTGAGGTGTCAATAAAATTTTATCATAAGGTAAATAGCATTAACGTGCACGTGCATCCGAATATTATACATATACTCTCGTAATTTGCATGAACCATTAAAGTAAGTTAACCCAAGTAAGATAATGTTACGTCGAAATGACGTACTCACTTTTGTTCACGCTCTCAGACTTTCATTTGTATTCGAAGCAACTTCAAACCCGCAGTGTTCTCAGCGGTCTTTATGTCTCTTTCATTTCGACGTATCTTACTAGGGTTAATGAGATATGTGCATAACAATATTGTTTACAAGAAAAAGTGGGGCAGCCAATGCTTATCGTAAAATATTGGACTAAGCCCGTAAAATATAATATTATAATGGGTCTGTTACTATATTTATGCGGCTGGCCAAGAGATGGCGTATATATAATGATATATTTTACCAAAATTAATAGTTGAATTACAGGACCTCAACAAACAAATTATAATTCAATTTATTTACAGCTAGAAGTATGATTTGTCTCCAGGAACGGCATGATCTTTTCGCTTCTGGTTCAACTTGTCGCCTGCATTTATTCGCTGGTCTCCCTCGTCTGTACCTCCCTTGAGAATTCCAGTCGAATGCTGTTTTTGAGATGTCATCTTGGGACTTATGTAAAGTGTGTTCAATCCTTTTCCATTTACAGCGACGGACTTGAACTTGGATTTGTGTTTGTTTGGTTGCAGCCTAAAAATCAGCATTGCTTATAACATAGTGCCAGAATATTCGCATAATCAGTGGTTATAGAAAGATTGCAAAGTTTGTATATTTTACATTCGTGCTATTTTCAGCTAATGCATTATGCGGTATTTTAAGTAATACTAACGTGATAACAAAATGCATCCGCTTCTTCCGGCGCTGTGCCAGCGATCTGCGGCGCTTGCGTTTCGGTGGTGTTGATATTCATGGCCTTTGTTTTTGATCCTGCAGCGCCGCTTATCACTTGAAGTTTTGCTGATACTCGTATATGTATATAAGAATTTATGAGACAGCAGACATATCAATATAGTCCAGATCTTTCAAGCAAGATGAAAGGAAGAGTTGAATTTCGAGTGACTTTCTGTCCGTGCAATAGATAACTTGAGTAGAAATTGAAATATCTCGATAAAATTTGGTACACGTATTCCTTGCTACCGAATTAAAGTGGGTATTGCACACGACAATCGAAAACCTATAAAGTTCCAAAACTAAGATACAAAACTGTAATCTAGTGTAAAGCAACTGAGTACAATCGGAAATTATTTTTAAAAAGTTGGCGGTTATCATTTGACTTCTTCTCTTTAAGTTTGGTTGAAAAAGCTTTACTAGTTTGTGATAGAGCTGGAAAACTATCGATAGTCAGGCCACATTTAAAAGCTAATTTTTTTTTGGAGGCATTCTTTTACCACCTCCTCAAAAATTGTGAAAATCGTTGAAATAATATAACGGTTATGTCAAAAACACCTCAGCAGAAACTGCTTGTAGAGGAGCTTGTTATGTTCCTTAACCGAAAGCATAAGGGCCTCACTGTGCAGGTGTTCTATTGGGGACATCAAGAGGTATCCCGTGATAGTCCGGAGTGTAGTGTTTTGACAAATCTGAAGCTTCTTCGTCTGCGTTGCACTACATCCAGACGACCATCTTGGAGCAGCATAATATAAGACCGGTCGATTGCCTTGTATGTTTCCAGCAACGTTTCTTTGTATTTTCCCCAAGAGCTGCTGGTAAGCGATTTGAGGATTTTGTTGCGTTTATAATAAGTTTGGCGTTTGGACCTCGAAATAGTACGGATGAATTCCGACCGCTCAGGTAGTTCATAGTCCACCGCTTCAGTCCTGGAGGGAGCGTGGATTGTTCTATGTCCTCAAGTAGCGTTGTGTGGTTGACTGTGTCAAAAGCTTTTGACAAGTCCAACGCTACGATGATCGTCCGCTCGCAGGGTGGCTTCTGATTTAGGCTATGAACTATCTGGGCGTTTACGACGCTAAGTGCTGTGGTGGTGCTATGCACTTTTCGGAAGCCATGCTGGTGGTCTGCTAGACTCAGGTGGTGAGTGAATGTGAGGAGTGGCAACTCCTCAAGTGTCTTCACTACTGGGGAAAGGAGATTTACACATCGGGGATTACAGGGATCGGCATGGCGTAAGGTGTCGCGCTCGTTTGATAATACAGCTGCTTCGGCTGGGAAATTAGAGCGGAGTTTCGCGATACTTCTAGCCGGTGTGAAGCGAGCAGTAGCAGCAGCGATTACTTTGCGGAATTAACGCTCGCCAACGACGACGTCCGTAGGCGTGGGTAGTGCGTTAAAGATGCTCTCAGTAAGTTCTGTGAAACCGACCCAGTTAGCTTTGTTAAAGTTGATAAAGGTGCGGCTGTTCACAGAAATAAAGTCGGGAGGTTTCTCGATCGAGATAATTATGGACAGATTGTCTGATGCGAGAGCTAGCATAGGTCGCCAGGTTATGCTATTTATCAGACCACCGCTAGCGATGGTAATATCAGGCGAGCTATTTCAGGTGCCCATAATTCTGGTGGGGGCTTCGTTATTCATTCCGCAGAGTGCCGAATCGTCAATCTGTTCCGCCAGCTCCATTCCCCTACGATCGTTTGACAGGCAGGAGTGCCAAAGATCGTTTTCACCACGAAGTAGCGAACCTATGTTCATGTGATATCCTGTTGGGCAACATGTAACTTTGGCGATGAATATATTAATAATCTTGAGCTCGATACTGCCTGACCGGACATGTGCGTAATTCAGCGTATTATTGCATTTTAGGATTAATTTGGGCCCCCATTGGTATTTATAACCGCTTGAAGCCGCCTTGGCATCGATTCTACTAAATTTGGCAACTCTGCAGAAGTAATGCTGTTGCAAGCTGCTGCTATGCGTTCTTTGAAAATAAAAGCGACAAAGATTTATTTATTTTTCTAGCTTACCTCCAAATCCATCCCCTTTTCTCCATGTTATTTAGGAATTCATAGAAATTTTCTCTTATTCTGAAATAAGAGGCTTCTTGTGTGGTCTTCTTGTGGAGCCACACGATTAAAGTTCTTTATGTTTTGATAGATACTTTACTGATCTATTTGCTTGTGTTCGGCAAATTTTGGATCACTGACTTTTGAATATTTGTCCATTCTTTAAGATTCAAGCTGACATTCCAACGAGATAGCTTTCTCGAATGACCATCGCGCAGCTTTACTTCAGTAGAACTGCCATTTTAAGTTTTTGCAATGTTCATGCCGTCGCTGGACTTTTCTTTAAAATTAATATAACATATATTGTTTTTAAATATTTATCACAAATTTTATGCCAACCGATATTTATTTCTGGAGGGTAGCATTAGTGTGTCCAGACTGCAACTAGTTAATAATAACCAAATTATAAACGATAAAAGGAAAAAGGAACTTTACGTTATCAAACTAAATATAGTATTATCGTTTGTACAGTGAGACGTTTGTCAACGCAATTTGTGGATTTTCGTCCATAACTTTTTGTTCAAAGTTAAATAGTAAATTTTTGAGAGCTATGATTAGATAATTGTTTACATATTTTCTGAAAAGTGTTTATACTTCAGAACCACGAAACAGGAGTGTATGTAGACTTTGTCCACTGTAAATAACGTTATCGAATTTACATATTCACTTAAAGTCCAGAAAAGTAGAAATCGAATATGCCGTTTTAAGTCCTCCGAAATACCAATAGTATCAAACTGAGGGTAAAATGAAAGAGCTACTTTTCAGTAAATAACATAACATCGTGATGCCAAACCAGAGAACGTACTTATATCATAAAGTTCAATTGCGGACCAGCGTGAATTGTCAAAACTAAGATTTTAGTGAATTACCAAATCTGGCTGGAAGAAATTTAACAGAGAGTGAACAGAGCTGAGAATCAAAATTCTCAGACTTGCTTTGTAGTGCAGAGCGGTTATATTTTATACGTTACTGAGAATATGAATAGAGGAGAAGTTACTGAAAACTTTTGAGTACATTGTAATTCCACATGAGGAACATCGAAAATATAACTTCGAAAAAGAAAATACACAAATATGCGAATGCTATAATAGACACAACGAATATTCCCATATGAAAATCGTTGCGCATACATCTATTTAGATTTATGTTTCAATTTCTATGATATGACAAATTTATATATGAAAAGCCTTGAAAAAGATTACTGGCAAACCCGAATTCATAATAAATAACCTTTGATATAATTTTCCAACAGGGCGCGTTTCCATTTATATAGTGGCTTAGGTCTACGTGAAGGAGCAAGCCCAATCCGAAAGAAGCATATATGTCGAATCTAAAATACATAAAACTCAAAATTTAATTTAATTTATATTCTATCATAATTAATTTTTAATAGCAATATTTCCTAATATATAAAATATCAGGAAAATATGTTCATATGATTAGGTTATTAGAATATTTTCTTATAGATTTAACAAATGTGATAATTACATATTCTTAAATCACGTAGCAGATGCTTGTTCTTCTTGCCCGACAGCAATGACTTTACCGCTTTTGTTTTGGTTGAAACGATCGCAGGCAAGGAGGGATTGGGCGCACTGCCACTAATTATTTTGATATATATTTATTTATCGAATTTAGTTTAAAACGATTATAGTATGAGTTTATGTGTTTATATATATAATATATATATATAAATACACACAATGCATCAGTATTTTCAATACAAATTTAAATAATAATATACTAAGAGTCTCAGTTAACGCCTCTGTGTATAGTGGCAAGCCAACCAATAACGGCGAGT